GGGGGCGGGGCCAGAGAGTGTGTGTTTTGTCATCACTAATGACAACACGCCCCCTCTCAAAGTGAGCATGTTGGTTCAATGCCCAGAGCCCTGCTGAAGAGCTCTGGCATTAGAAAAAGGCCCTGAATTTGTTCTGCGCAGCGCAAGCAAATGAAATAACATGCTTGTGCTATGTTTGCTTTTAAATTGTCTCTGGTGTCTCCACAAGTGGGATACCAGAGGACAAATGGAAAGTGCATGGTGCATATGTTTGGAGCCTGCTTGTGGGATTGCGTGTGTGTAGAGTGTGGTGTGGTATTGTGTAAATAGGTCAATTTAATTTGTGTTTGTGGTGTAATATGTGTGGCTAGGGGCTGTAGAGAGTGTGTGTATAGGGGGCATAGTTTTATAGGGGATGCAGCGAGTGTGTGCATACGGGCTGAAGTGTGTGTGTATAGGTGACGTAGTGTGTGTAGGGGTTGCAGAGAGGGTGTGTTTAGAGAATGTTGTATGTGTTTGCTGACAAGGAATGTAGTGTGTGTGTGTAGGAGATCTACTGTGTAAAGGACCCAGTGTGTGTGTGTGTATAGAGGATAAAGAGTGCATATAGAGTACCTTTATCCTGGGAGGGGGGAGGAGATCCGTTCTGTCATGCTTCCCTGGTGGCCCAGTGGTGAGAGTGAACTCTAACCTGCAGGTTAGAGTTCACTCTCGCGAGATCTGAGCGTTGCCGCGGCAACGGTAACCGCGGCAATGCTCAGAATCCCGCGAGAGGACCCGGCGGAGCTGCTTGTTAGAGCTCCGCCGGGTCCTCTCTCCTCCCTCCCTCCCTCCCTCCCCAGCCGGCGGCCGCATTTCCATGCCTCTGGGCCGTTGAGGGAGATCTTTGATCTCCCCACCGGCCCATGGAGGCACACAGCAGGGCCGGCGCTCGGGTAGCGCTGGCCCTGCACGGGCTGGCAGGGGAGATTCTGTGATCTCCCCTGCCAGCCTCGGCCCCACGGCCATCGCGGCCCACCGGGCATTTGCCCGGTATGCCCGATGGCCAGTCCGGGCCTGGTGACTGCCACCCGCAGCCATGGGGCAGTCCCTTCGCAGAAACGACAGCTAGTAGTACCACGGAAGTACCAGCTGGTGCTTCTGCGAATTAGGCACGATATCCCACTAGGAGGACACCTGGGAGTATCTTGCACAGCCAGAAGAATAACCCAACACTTTTCAGGCCAGGGGTCTCCAAGGATGTGTGACACTACTGGAGAACCTGTGATACATGCCAGAGGGTAGGGAAGAGGGGGGACCATCCCAAAGCTCAACTGCTATCTATGATTATTGGGGAGCCGTTTAGTCAGATAGCAGTTGACCTCGTAGGACCCCTCAAGGGAACTAGTCAATCCGGCAAGCAATATATTCTAACCGTGGTGGACTACACCACCCGATACTCAGAAGCCGTAGCCCTCGCGAATATCCAGGCAGATACTGTTGCCAACAGTATCTGGCAACAGTATCTGCCTGGATATTCGCGAGGGCTACGGCTTCTTAGTATCGGGTGGTGTAGTCCACCACGGTAAGAATATATTGCTTGCCGGATTGACTAGTTCCCTTGAGGGGTCCTACGAGGTTGACTCCTATCTGACTAAACAGCTCCCCAATAATCATCTGGATATTCACCAGGGTAGGGTTCCCAAAGGCAATAATATCTGACCAAGGTACTAAGTTTACCGCAGACTTAACCAGTCATTTATGGGAAGCCTGTGATATTAAGCCCTTGTTCAGTTCCCCATACCACCCATAAACTAATGGCCTCTGTGCGCGATTCAACAGGACCCTCAAGCTAATGTTGAAGACCTTCACAGACACCTACAGGGACTGGGAGAGATTCCTACCGCATCTCTTGTTCACCCTTTGAACTACTATATGGGAGAAGAGTGCGAGGTCCCCTTGATCTCATCTGTGAGCAGTGGTAGGGAGAGACCAAGAGGGAAGGGATCCCCATCGTATCCTACGTAGTGGAGCTCAGGGACCGCATGGAGCAATTAGCCCAGATGGCAAGGGAGAACCTCCAGGCGGCCCAGGGGCGACAGAAGGTTTGGTATGATTGGGGTGCCCATCAGCGCACGTTTCAGATAGGGCAAAAAGTGTTTGTCTTGAAACCTGTCAAGACACAAGTTGCAAGCAGCCTGGCAAGGCCCATACAAAGTTGTAGAACAGCTATGTGACACTACATAGGTCATTGCTAGCTGTAAGGATGAGCGAATAAGAAGGTCTGTTTCTGTAAATATGCTGAAAGAATACCAGAAAATGCAGAAGGACGTAGCAGCAGTATCTGCAGTAAGGTTAGCAGGGCGAAGAAGAGAATTAAAGGTGTCAGAGAGACGCCTGGGATTGCGGGTGTGGCGGAACCAACCTCGCCACTGGAGGAGCCTTGTCGCCCGCCTCCTGCCGCTGGGCTATGGCCCCATGTTTAACACTGTTCTTTTTCCCTGCAGAAAGGCTGGTTCGTGCCTTACTGCGGACTGTTACAATCACAAACACCACTGAGCTGCCAACCTCCCTTCTCCTATCTGCAGTCAATTATCCGAACACCGGTCCATTCGGTACTTTACTGTTTAAACCATGCTACCCCAGATAGCTATGCCATGGAGCCCAGCCGTATACTGAAAGACTGTATGACTTTGGCTCCATGGCGATTGAATTGTATGTGATCTGAGCGCCATCTTAATAATGTGCACTCAGATCTAAGCTATCTGGGGATAGGTAGAATGTGTATGTTCTATGTGATAAATGTAACAGTATGTATTTTTATGTCTTTTATTGTCCTTTGTCTGCCATGTGGTTAATGGAGTTTTGCCTCTGTCCTTGGATATAATTGGATTACTTCCCAATCATCTCCAAGACAGAGAGGAGGGATTGTGATGCATTATGGGATTGTAAGCTTGTGATTGGTCAATGTCCAATATGTTCCCCAGTCTTCCATCTGGTCCCCTAAGGGAGTGTCCACCAGGTGGGAGACCTGCATAAAAGCCGGGCAGGTAGCCCCAGTAAATCAGTTCTGCTTGACCCTCAAACGAAGTTTTGTCTCGTTCTTGGGGGGGGAATTGGATTGTATGCTGTTACAGCGCAACTGCCAGGAGTGGAAGCTGTTCGTATGTTTAACAGCATTCGTGTGTTCAGGAGTTGGTGAATTTGTATGTTTCCTGTTCGGGAGTTTGAGTATTCATGTGTTTGCAATTCGGGAGATTGGTGCTTGCAGTAGCTGCCTGTGCATCTGAAAGGGGAATATCACCTAAACGATTTTTAACCTCGTGTGCAAACTGGTCCGTTACATTGGGAGCATGAGCTAAAGCGATAGGAAAAGTAGGACTGTTTGGCAAGAGCAAGGGCTGTGCTGTATGAACACAATATGAACCTATAATGGAGAAAGTCTGACTGAGTGTGAGACTTCCTCCAGGAGTGTTCAGCACAACGGGCACATGGGGCGTGTCCTCCTTGAGGTGCTTGTTTGGAGCGGTGCTGCAGCGTTCAAGGCAGAGGTGAGGGTAGTGTTATATGAGGAGATGGCCAATGAAGGACAAGAGAGGAAATGGATGGATAGCAGCTGTAAATTAATATCAGCTGACAGCTGCTGGAGATCAAGAGAATTAAGGTTCCTCCTGAGTTGAGGTGGGTTAGGCTGAAGTTGTTGAGTGAGGGGGTACACGAGAGCAAATGATAGGTGATCAGAGAGAGGAAAAGGAGTGTTGCAGATATTAGATACTGAGAAGATTTGGTCAAGGGTAGTGCCAGCTTCATGGGTGGGAGAATTTGCCCACTGCGATAGCCCGAGGATGTAATTGAAAGTAGTTTGGAGGCTACTGAGGTCAAAAGGTGGGTTAATGGGAACATTGAAGTCCCAGAGAATTAGGGATGGAATGTTAGAAGAGAAGAAATAGGGTAGCCAGGCAGAAAAATGGTCAAGGAAGAGGAGAGGGGAATGATAAATAACGGTATTGTTAGCAGAGAAGGGTTTGAAAAGGAGAATTAAATGTATTTCAAATTGAGGGAGGGGGGTGGGTGGAGGTTTAAAGGAGCAGTGAGGGGAGAGGAGAAACCCTACACCACCACCTTTACATTCAGTTTCTTGGATTGTGGGTAAGTTGAAGACCACCAAAGGACAAAGATGCAGGGGTAGCAGTGTCAGAGGGGGAGAGCCATGTGTTAAGGCTAGTAAATCTATTGAACAAGAGATGAAGTAGTCATGGACAGCAGTGAATTTTGTAATATTGCGAACAGAGCGTGCATTCCAGAGGACAGTATTGAAGGAGGAACATGAGATGGGTGTGGATCCTTGAGTTAGTATGTGGAGAGTTTGCCAAAATGGGACCGGGGTTTGGAGAGACATAACAAGCTGCTAGGAGCAAAAGAATAGAAAGGAAGTGAAGGTGGTAGTAGGATATTGAAAGTTTTGTAGGACGGTATGTATACAGAGGATTTGGGAGGAGTTGGTGGAGATAGGCTGGAAAGGTATATGTAGGGTGCATGGGATGAATAGAGAAGGGAGTGTAGTAAAGTGGATGTAATGAAGATGGTGTTGCCAGGGACAGGTGAGCAGGAGGATAGGGATATTTTAGTAATGAGAGAAGTTAGTGTGAAAGAGAAAAATAGAATGTAGGACATTATTTAGAGAAAATGTGATATGAAGATTATATATACATGCACATATTTAAATCATATATATCTCTCAATGAGTGTTTAAATCATTGTAAAGGATGCTGTATGTTAACAGATGCTAGAGAGAGTGGGGTAAAGTGACACAAAAGGTAAGAATAGTATTAGACTAGTGACAGTTGCAAGATAGGAATCAGTTGAGAGCTAACAGTTTAATTGATAAGCTTTTATGAAGAAGTGGGTTTTTAATGATTTTTTTTGAAGGAGTGGAGACTGGGTGAGCATCTAACGGAGGAGGGAAGAGAGTTCCACAGGAACGGTGCAGCCCTCGAGAAGTCTTGAAGGCAAGCATCAGAGGTGCTGATAGACATCTTCAGCAGGTATGTCCTGTCTAGGCCCTTATGATCTGCTAATAGACGTCTTCAGCAGATCGTAAGGGCCTAGACAGGACATACTTGTGTATTAGGGATTTGGTGATAGACTGAACATGAGGCTTGAAGGAGAGGTCGGAGTCAAAGACAACACCTAGGCAGCGAGCCTGCATGGTGGAGCTGATGGTAGCACCATTGACTTTTGGTCAAGTTGAGTTTAAGGAAGTGGGCAGCCATCCAGTTAGAAATAGCAGAGGGGTAGTCAGAGACATTAGTCAAGAGGGACAGGGAGAAATCAGGAGAGGAGGCGTGTCATCTGCATAGAAATGATATTGAAAGCCAAAGGAGCTAATAAGTATAATACCAAGAGAAGCAGTATAGATGGAGAACAGTAGGGGACCAAGGACTGAACCTTGGGGGACACCAACAGAGAGGAGTTGGGGAGAAGAAGCAGAGCCAGAGAAAGAAACACTGAAAGAGCGCTGAGAGAGGTAGGAAGAGCACCAGGAGAGAGCAATATCTTCTAGACCGATATTGCGGAGAATGAGAAGAAGCTGTTGATCAACCGTGTCAAAAGCCGCAGACAGGTCAAGGAGTATTAGGATAGAGTAGTGACCACAAAATTTTGCTGCGAGTAGATAATTGGATACTTTGTTCAGTGCCATTTCCACAGAGTGCTTAGCGCGGAAACCAGACTGAAGCGGGTCTAGCAGAGAGTTGGGCTTGAGGAAGTCTGTCAATCTCGCATACACAACTCTTTCAAGGATCTTGGATGCAAAAGGCAGTAGCGAGATAGGACGGTAGTTGGATGGGGAGTTAGGGCCAAGGTTGGGCTTCTTTAGAATCGGGGTTACAGTTGCATGTTTGAAGGGCGATGGAAATATACCAGAGGGGAGAGAGAGATTGAGAATTTTAGTGAGAAGTAGAGAAAGAGAAGACAGTACGGATGAGATGTGAGGGAATTGGATCTAGGGAGCAGGTGGTGGGGCGGGAGGACTGGCGCAGAGCAGAATCCTCTTCCAATATAGTGGGTTCGAATGAACATAGAACAGCAGAGGGAGTGAAGTTAGGGGAAGTATTGTAAGGGGAGGAAGAAAGGTGAGAGATCTTGTCAGATCTTGTCAGTGACTTGAGTTGCAAAGTCTGAGGCAGTCAAGTTAGTAGGTGGAGGAGGAACAATAGGGAGAATAAGAGTTAAATGTGTGGAATAGTCGTTTGGTTTCGTGGGAGAGTGTGGTTATGAGGGTATTTTGCAGAGGAAAGAGCCAAGCTGTATGAGCTCAGCATAAAGTCATAGTGGAGAAAGTCGGAGCCCCAGTAAAGCCCCAGTGAGACTTTCTCAAACAGCGTTCATCAGTTCTGGAGCATTTTTGGAGGAATCGAGTCAGCTTGGTGTGCCAAGGTTGTTGTTGGGGGCGCCTGCAGTGTTTAAATGTAGAAGATGCCATGATGTCTAGTTGAGAGAAGAGGATGGAATTGTAGAATGAGGTTGCAGAACTAGGACATGTGAGGTTTGAGATAGGTAAAAGAAGAGTTTAGAGATTAGTGGAGAAATGCTCTAGGTCAAGACATTGGAGGTTTCTGTGAGAGTGATGTTCAGACGGTGGTGTCAATTGGATCTTAGGTATGCCAATGTCAAAAGTCAGCAGTGGTCAGATAGAGGAAAAGGAACATTGGAGAGATTATAGGCGGTACAGAGATTGGTGAAGGCCAGATCAAGAGTGTTTCCTGCTGTATGGGTTGCTAAATTGGACCATTGCTTAGGCCAAAGGAGGAGGTTAAAGAGAGCAGACAAGAAGCATCAGTGCAATTGGGGTTGTTGATTGGGATATTGAAATCCCCAAGTATAAGGGAAGGAGAGCTAGATGAAAGGAAGTGGGGAAGCCAGGAAGAAAAGTGCTCAATAAATAATCTAGGATAACCAGGGGGCGGTAGATGATAGCAATTCCTAAAGGAGTGGGTTTAAATAGGCGGACAGTGTGAAAGAAGAAAAGGATAGGACTGGGGGAGTTATGATTGGTTGAAAGGTACATTCAGGGGAAAGAAGGATGCCTACACCACCTCCTTTATAGTTTAGTCTGGGGAGTGTGAGAGAATTATAATCCACCAAAACATAAAGAGGCAGGAGTAACGCTATCAGAGGGGGACAGCCAGGTCTCAGTAAGTGCAAGCAGTGTTTGAGATGAAAAAGTAACGTATGGTGGTTGTTTTTAAATTACTGCAGATGGAACGGGCATTCCAGAGTGCACACTAACTGCTGGTAAGTGAGGGTATAGGGCAGGATATGGTGATGAGGTTTGTGGTGACATGCTAAAGAATTATGTCCAGATATGTAAATCAGATTTCAAAGCTGGTGTAGTTTCTTTTTCGTGCAATTTTTTTATTTTATAGCGGGTGAATTGTAGTGGTTATTCATAAAATTATGTAAAAAATACCTATTATTCCTACACTGGTGTATTTCAGTGGTTCCTGGTTCTGTCTCTCAAATAAAGCATTTTACAATGTAACACAGCAAACATATTTATTACAAAATACATACAAGAAAGGCACTGTATAGAACACGTAGAGGTGAACTCTTTAATGGAGCTTCCCTAAAAGATCAGTTTGTCATTTTAGTCTGCAAGATCTTTACAGCTGTTGCATATTAAGGACGCAATACATGATTTTTTTTTTTAATTCGCATACACAACCACAGTGAGATATCCCTTAAAAAAAAAACAGCAGCTGTCAAAAGTATTGAAAACAGGGAGCAATGACAGGAAATCATTTAAAAATAAAAATAAACCTTTTGTAGTGAATATTACTAAGTAACAGCATACAATTTTATTTTAAAACAAAACCTGATCACTTTAATAGTGAAAAAGTAAGCAAAAGCAAATGTAATGTTTTGCTGGAGTCTACATTTTATAAAACATTTAAATATGTTTAATAGGCAGCTAAACAGGAGTCTAAGTGCTCATTGACATTCAACTCTAGAACTTCAGTTCTACAGACAGGACAGCTGACCGTCACGCTTTGTTGGCTGGAACTAGCAGTAGTTATATCTGATGGTGCAGCAGTGCTGTTAATGTTTTGCATGTGTTTATTCTTGGCATTTCTCCAAGGACTAGTTAAAAGAAAGTCCTCAACAGGTTTTTCATCTTGCATTCGTGGCCTCTTAGTAGATTGTCCATATATATTTTCATTGTTCAATCCCTGAGAAATAATAGATGTAGTTGCTGAATGCTTGGATGTTTTGATAGACATTTTCTTCTTAGTCATATTAGATAAAAAAAGATCAGCAATACGAGGTGATGTGTTTTCAGAATGAACTTTAGTCCTTTTAACTGGGAGTTTTATTGGTGACCCATTCACATTAAGGAATACTTTGGGGTTAGCAACAGATACCATAGGGACACCACTCTTCGAATGCATGTATTTCTCCTGACTTGGTAAAGGCTTTCTATTGTTTAAAATAAAGGTGCTGGAAGAACTTGGCAGCATATTCTTGGTATTTCCTGTTGAATTATTGCTAGTATGAGGCATATCCGACTTACTGGTTTGAACCAATTTATAACCTACCCCACTAAAGGGAATAATTGTGCGTATGTCAACTCCATGATTTTTACCTGAGAAAAGAGAAAGTAATTAAAAACATAATTTAGATGACTGGGAATAAATGGAAATATTTTAAAAATATAACTAAAAAGACAATCTAAAACTTTTATTTTGCAGAGGTTGATAAAGAAAATCTTATTAACCCATTAGTGACCAGACCGTTTTTCAATTTTCTTACTTCTAAAGATACCATTATTTTCATCATATCATAAATTTACCATTTTAAAAAAAATTTAAAAAAAAAAAAAAAAAAATCACTTTTTCGAACTTTGACCCTCAAAATCTGTTACGCATCTACAACCACCCAAAAACACCCATGCTAAATCGTTTCAAAATTTTGTCCTGAGTTTAAAAATGCCCAATGTTAACATGTTCTTAGCTTTTTTTGAAAGGTTATAGGGCTATAAGTATAGCACTTTGCTATTTCCAAACCATTTTATTTTCAAAATTAACACACGTTAGATTGTAACACTGATATCTGTCAGGAATCCCTGAATAACCCTACACATGTATATATTTTTTAAAAGAAGACAACCTAAGGTATTACATTTTGGATATTTTGACTCTCTTCATGCAACCATTTTACTACCAATCTATCTGCCAAATGTTAAAAAAAATAAAAAAAAAAAATGATTTTTTTTGACACATATAGCAATTTAAGAATACATGTACGGAGAACTTTAAGGGTTACTGCCAAAGAACACCCCAATATGTGTTCAGCAACATCTCCTGAGTACAGTGATACCCCCCATATATAGGTGTATTGGGTTCTCTGTGGGCTAAAATACCTTATTTGGAGGGTGCGCATTCCAGTTTTCCAACTTGGAATTTTCTCAGCTGGTCATCATGCCCCCATGTCCTATTTGGGACATTTTTAAAGCCGGACAATGTAATTTACTCCCATCAAACCATATATTTCTGAAAAGTAGACACCCTAGGGGTTTTCAAATGGTGGTATTTTAACACATTACATGCACTAATTCTACCAGCAGTCTTTGTCAAACTTTTGGGTAGTCGTTTTTTTGTTATTTTTCTCTCACATTGTACTTTAGGCATGGATTCTCAGTTCCTGTTATGTGTTACTGACAAAGAAACCCCCAATATGTGTTCAGCAACATCTCCCAAGTACAACAGTTCCCCCAATGTACAGGTTTTATAGGCTTTTGCAAACTTACAGGGGTCAAATGTAGGGCTTTCCCCTTTACCATGTTTGCACATTGAAATTTGCTGGACCTTTGTTGCCTTTTGAGACCATATGGTAGCCCAGGAATGTGAAATAACCCCATCATGGCATACCATTTTCAAATGTAGACAACCCAGGTTATTCCAAATGGGGTATTTCCAGTCTTTTTATTGTAGCCACAAACGCTACAGTGGTGCGGGGTGTGTGTGTTATATATATATATATATATATATATATATATATACATACACACACACACACACACACATATATATATAAAAACTTAAAATTTGTATCTTGTAATACCTTTTTAG